GCTGCTGCTAGTGCTGCCGCTGCTGCTGCTAGTGCTGCCGCTGCTGTTGCATCAAACGTCCCTTCAGGAAACACAGAGAGCTGTTCAGCAGCAGAGTCTGTCTCGGCCCTAGGGTTTAGGGTTTAGGGTTTAGGGTTTAGGGTTTAGGGTTTACTGGGGAAGAAGGTGGTTCCAACACGCCTCTTAAAAGCAGCAGCAGCAGCAGGATGTAGAGACTGCAGCACAGCAGCAGAAGCTGCTGCGTCTCCTGCGCCTTCGCTGGGCACCAGGATGTACCGGCTAGTCCAGTCAGGCAGCCGCTGCTGCTGCTGCTGCTGCTGCTGTCGCTGCTGCTGCTGCTGCTGCTGCTGCTGCTGCTGCTGTTTGTGGGTCTGTTTGCTGTGCGTCTCCAGGGACTCTTCTTGGTCGCCTTCACCGTCTTCTGACTGCTGCTGCTCCTGCTGCTGCTCCTGCTGCTGCTCCTGTTGCTGCTGCTGCTGCTGCTGCTGCTGCTGCTGCTTCACTTTACGCTTCTTGTGCTGCTGCTCTGTTGCTGCCCGGGGGCTTTGGGCGTCCTGTGGGGCCTCGCCGGCTCTTCTTTTCTGCGCTGCTTCTTCCGCTGCAGCAGCTGCTTTATCTGCTGCTGCTGCTGCTGCTGCTGCTGTTGCTGCTGCTGCTGCTGCTAGGATTCGCTGCTTCTTAGACCCCCCCTTTAAGGCCTCAGGCTGGGGGCCCCTTCTGGCTGCAGCCATTTTTGGGGCCCCTAAATTAGCTGATTTCAAAAGGGCTGCGGAGTCTTCTTTTGTTGGGGTTTGGGGGTTTAGTCTGAGGGTTTAGGGTTTAGGGTTTAGGGTTTAGGGTTTAGGGTTTAGGGTTTAAGGCTTAGGACTCTGGAGCTGAGGTCTTGGATCTAGGGTTTTGGATCCACGGGTTAGGCCTCTAGAGCTTTTCGGCCTAAGGTTAGGGCCTAGGGTTTATGCATTATAGATTACAGTTTATGGTTTAGGGTTTAGGGTTTAGGGTTTAGGGTTTAGGGTTTAGGGTCTGGGGCTTAGCGCTGGGTCGTCAGCAGAAGGCTTGGGCCTGGGGCCCCCACGGCAGCGGGGGGCCCCCGTGGTCCTGGGGCCCCTCTCTGCATCAATTAGGGTTTAAAATGCAGAAAAAAGAATTAAAAAAGATTAAAATTTGAATTTAATTTATCTTTTTTCCCTTTTTATTTCCAGGGGGCCCCCCAGCGGTTTGCTGCTGCGCCTGCAGCCCCCAGAGGCCCCCCAGTGCCTCCCAGGGGCCCCCCGACCCAGCAGCGCCGCCCAGGGGCCCCCCAGTCCCAATTAGGGGCCCCCAAGTCCCAATTAGGGGCCCCCAAACCTCATTTAGGGGCCCCCAAGTCCCATTTGGGGCCTCTTGACCCTCCTGGGGGCCCCCCAGAGCCTCCTGCAATACCTGAGGGCCCCCCAGTCCCCTGTGGGCCCCCACCTCTTCCAAAATGAACGGCCGCGCTGAGCCTGAGGGGCCCCCAGGGGCCCCCGGGGGGCCCCCGGGGGGCCCCGGGGGCCCCGGGGGGCCCCCAGGGGGGCCCCCCGGGGGGCCCCCAGGGGGGCCCCCAGGGGGGCCCCCAGGGGGGCCCCCAGGGGGGCCCCCAGGGGGGCCCCCAGGGGGGCCCCCCGAGATCCTGGGGGCAGCTGAGAAGCTGTTTGATAGGCAAATTCGACTGTGGGGTTTGGAGGCCCAGAGGAAGTGGGGAATTGAAATAAAAGAATTAATTTGAAGTTTTTAATTTAATTTTATTTTGAGTTATTTGCTGCCAAGTCTTTTCTTGTTTGTTTTTATTTGCTGTTGAGGAGTTTTGTTTGTGTTTGTTTGACTGGTTTTTTGCTCGTTTGCTTTCCTGCTGCTGCTGCTGCTGCTGCTGCTGCTGCTGCTGCTGCTGCTGCTGCTGCTGCTGCAGGCTGATGGCTGCCCGCGTTCTCTTCGTTGGGATGTCGGCTATTAATGTCGAGGCCAGCAAAGACTTGGCGCTTGCAGGTGGTGCTGCTGCTGCTGCTGCTGCTGCTGATGCTGCTGCTGATGCTGCTGGTGCTGGCACTGCTGCTACTGCTGCTGGCGCTGCTGTTACTGCTACTGCTGCTACTACTGCTGCTATTGCTGCTGCTGCTGCTGCTGCTGCCACTACTACTGTTGCCGCTGCTGCTGCTGCTGCTGCTACTACGGCCGCTGCTGCTGCTGCTGCTGCTGCTGCTGACAAAGCTTTGGCGCAGCATTACTGCTGTGAGGCGGGGAGAGCCACGTGATTGCTTGAGGAATAGCAAAATTTAGGGTTAAGGGTTTAGGGTTTAGGGTTTAGGGTTTAGGGTTTAGGGTTTAGGGTTTGGCGCACAGGTTGCGGAGGCCAGTGTGAAGGGTTTGGAGTCAATGGCCCCTTTGGTGCCATTCGCTGTGCTGTCGCCTGAGGGTTTAGGGTTTGAGGCCTCGAACTTCCAAACCCTAAACCCTAAATTAGAGTCTATCATCAAAGGGTTTACCTGTGTCTGCGTCGCTGCAGAAATGTGTCCCCTTTACACCCTGGTGGGCTCCAAACCCTAAACCCTAAACCCTAAACCCTAATTTGCAAAAGCCCCCTCAGTCACCAGCAGCAAGCACACTAGATGCAGCGCTTCTTCGTCTGTAGGGTTTAGGGTTTAGGGTTTAGGGTTTAGGGTTTAGGGCTTGCAGTTAAGCAAGTGCTGAGCCCCTTTTGTGTTTTTCAGGCACAACTGTCCTCCTTGTGCAGGAAGCTGGGCGTGGTAAACCCTAAACCCTAAACCCTAAACCCTAAACCCTGATGGCCGCAAACTACAGGTTTCCGAGAGTCTCGCGGCCTCTCGGGTATACAGCTAATTCCTGTTTTGCCCGCGTGCTAGGGTTTAGGGTTTAGGGTTTGGCGTTAAGGGTTTAGGGTTTAGGGTTTAGGGTTTAGGGTTTAGGGTTTGAATGTGGCTCCTTAGGGTTTGATCGTCTCCCAGTGCTGCGGCCCCATCGGCTTCTTTATACAAGATTTTGGGACTTACGAAATGTGCGTAGACCCAAACCCTAAACCCTAAACCCTAAACCCTAAACCCTAATTTCTGTTCTGTAAACCCTAAACCCTAGAGGTCACAAGAACTTTGTTGGGGTCCAAATGACGATGGCGTATCCGCAGGGACCCACACCAGAACGTTTCTATTATTTAAGCAAAGGGTTTAGGGTTTAGGGTTTAGGGTTTAGGGTTTAGGGTTTAGGGTTACGCTGACGCAGAATAAAAAAGGAAGGCGGAGAGAAGACTGTCTTTTCGCACCCCCCTCTCCCAGAGGTCTTGACTGCAAGATTGGTGAGTGAGGGTTTAGGGTTTAGGGTTTAGGGTTTAGGGTTTAGGGTTTGAGGCTGGGGCTTTAGGGTTTTGGGTAAGAGGGCAAGGCCAAGGGTAAGGGTTTAAAGATTAGTGTTTAAGATTGAGGGTTTTGGGTTTAGGGCGGGAAGGACGGCTCAAGGGTGGGGGTTTAGGGTTTAGGGTGTAGGGTTTAGGGTTTAGGGTTTAGGGTTTAGGGTTTGTTTATGCGTTGTAGGGGGATCTGGATCCAAAAGTCCACGCTGCTGCGTTTGCAGTACTTGGTGAGGATGAAGGCTTGCAAGGGTTTAGGGTTTAGGGTTTAGGGTTTAGGGTTTAGGGTTTAGATGGCATCTTTCACGTGCAGGGAACTATGCCTGCCGAGCTCACGGTAGGGTTTACGGCTCAGGGTTTAGGGATTAGGGTTTAGGGTTTAGGGTTTAGGGTTTAGGGTTTAGGGTTTGGAGTGCAGGAATGCTTCGGTGGGAGTGCGAAACCCGGGAGCGTCGGAGGCCCCTGGGATCGCCTGAAGCCGATCCCGGCTCAGCAGAAGCAGCAGCAACAGCAGCAGAAGCAGCAGCAGAAGCAGCAGCAGCAGCAGCAGCAGCAGCAGAAGTAGAAGCAGCAGCAGCAAAAGTGTTTGCTGCTGATGGTGTACAGGCAACCCCCGAGATATTGCGAGCAACCAAGTACGTGGGGTGTATAGACACCTCAGCTTTCGATTCTTTTTTGTCTAGGGTTTGGATTAGGGTTTGGCGTGGCGGTTTCAAGGGTTTAGGGTTTAGGGTTTAGGGTTTAGGGTTTAGGGTTTAGGGTTCAGAGTCTAGGGCTTCGGATGGAGATGGCGTTTAGGGCTTACGAGAAAGGTCTAGGTTCCAGGGTTTGGGTGCAATCCGGGGTTTAGAGTGTAGGGTTTAGGGTTTAGGGTTAAGGGTTAAGGGTTTAGGGTTAAGGGTTTAGGGTTAAGGGTTTAGGGTTTAGGGTTTAGGCCTGCTAGGGTTTGTTGTTTGCTGCAGAGATATCTCGGCGGGGTATAACGAACAAGCGAATGTCGTTGCTTCTGTTGTGGGCGGCATACTCAGTACGTTGCGCTGAGGGTTTAGGGTTTAGGGTTTAGGGTTTGGGGTTTAGGGTTTAGGGTTTAGGGTTTCCTGGGACTGCCTCTTGCTTGCATGTTTGGGTGCTTCTGCTAACTGAGACAGCTCCAGAATTGTTTCTGAGTGATGTGAGCCGTTCACCGTGTAGGTTTTAGGGTTTAGGGTTTAGGGTTTAGGGTTTAGGGTTTAGGGTTTAGGGTTTGCGTGCAGCTCAAGAGCTGCGCAAATTCATAACGCGGGAACAAAAGGCAATCCCCAACTTGGTGGTTTTCGACAGCTACTCTTCCTGTGCTGCAGTTGCCAGAGTGCCCTGCTCTGCCAAACCCCAAACCCTAAACCCTAAACCCTAAACCCTAAACCCTAAAAACAGCCTGGTCCCGCAAGCTGCGCTGCAGGCAAGGCCATGCAGCTCGTGTAACAGCAGGAGCAGCAGCAGCAGCAGCAGCAGCAGCTGCTGCTGCTGCTGCTGCTGCTGCTACGTAAGAGTGTGTCAAGAAAAGGCTCGAGATTGTTTAGCACTTGCTTATTTGGATTTGGGGTTTAGGGTTTAGGGTTTAGGGTTTAGGGTTTACGGGCTGCACTTGAAGACGCTGTCAACTTCAAGGCTCACGGGCGTTCGCGCCCTGACTCTGTACAGCATCACCAGAGTTTAACGATTAGGGTTTAGGGTTTAGGGTTTAGGGTTTAGGGTTTAGCGTTTAGGGTTTAGGGTTTAGAGCCTCTTGAAAGATAATGCAGCGGGTTGCTGCTGCCGTTCCCACCTCAGTTGCTGGTGGCTGCCGTTTCGGTTTAGGGTTTAGGGTTTAAGTTCGAGGGTTTAGGGTTTAAGGCTTGGGCTTGGGGGTTTAGGACTAGCCCTAAGGTTCAGGTTTAGGGTTTAGGGTTTAGGGTTTAGAGTCAAAGGTTTGCTTGGGATCGCGCAGCTATCGAGGTTGTCACAGCAGCTGTAGCGCTTGGGATTTAGGGTTTAGGGGTTTGGTGTTTCGGTTGAGTGTTGAGGGTTTAGCGTTAAGGTCAGAAGTCTAGGGTTTAGGGTTAGGGTTTAGGGTTTAGGGTCTAGGGTTTGGGGTTTGTTGGGTCGGGCTGGTCCCAGGAGTCGCTGGGAGCCCGGGGGCGAGCGCGGTTCGTTTTTAGGGTTTAGAAGAGAAGCAAGGGTTTTAAAAACCCTTTTAGTGTTTAATTTTTATTTAATTTAGAAAAGAATAGTAAAAAGCGGAGGAATTAGCAGCAACAGCAGCAGCAGCAGCAACAGCAGCAGCAGCAGCAGCAGCAGACCGCTGCGGCTCGCCGCAGGAAGCACAGCGAGAGATCGCCGAAGCCCCAGGGAGCGCGCGCGGGCTCGGCGGGTTTAGGGTTTAGGGTTTAGGGTTTAGGGTTTGCGGCTCAGGGTTTAGGGTTTAGGGTTTAGGGTTTCGGGCGAAGCGCGAAGGCAAACTGCAGCACTGCGGGTTCTGCGAGATGGTCGATCTCGGCAGCGAGTGGCAGCCAAGTTCCTTCATTTGGTCTTCTTTGGATTTAATTTTTGCATTTTTGTTTTATATTTTTATTTTATTTATTAATTTAATTCAAAACAACTCTTCAGCGTTCTCGGGAGCTCCTGGACTCCGGCGATGCGCGCTTCCCTCGCTGCTGCTGCAGCTGCAGCAGCAGCAGCAGCAGCAGCGCCGCTGCTGCTGCTGCAGCTGCTGCTGCTGCCTTCCCCAGCTTTCGCTTCAAACCAAGGCTCAGACTTCGTGAGTCCTCACAGACTTCCAAAGGGGCCCCCGGGGGGCCCCCTGGCATCCCGGGGGCCCCTAGGGTTTCGGGGGGCCCCCAAGAGGCTCGACAGTGTCTCCCGTGGAGAGTGTTGCTTAGGGTTTAGGGTTTAGGGTTTAGGGTTTGGGGTTTGGGGTTTGGGGTTTGCGCTGCTTCGCCTGCGGCGCGCGGCCGCCGCTTCCAGCGCCGCGAGCCCTCGCTGAGCGCGCGGAGCGCAGCGCTAGCCAGGGGCCAGGGTTTAGGGTTTAGGGTTTAGGGTTTAGGGTTTAGGGTTTAGGGTTTAGGGTTTAGGGTTTGCGCAGGGCGGAGACCTCACTGCAGACGCCAGGCTCGTCACCGACTACGTCGAACTCCTCGCCTGGTACCTCCAAAACGACCGACTGGCTGTGGCCCACGTGGCCACTTGTTTGCTGGAGGGGCCCCACAAAGAGAGTAAACCCTAAACCCTAAACCCTAAACCCTAAACCCTAAACCCTAAACCCTAAACCCTAAA